CAACCCCACAGCCGTTTCCCGTGCGGTGGCGCCGACAGCCCCGGCGCCAGCCTGGGCACAGCCCAGGCAGCGCCAACCCCGTGTTCCCCCGCAGCTGGAATGGGAAACGGTGGTGAGGGATGTTGCTGGGAAAGCATCTACCTTTTTCCCATCCTGCTTTCACCCTCTTCCACTTGAGAGCAGAAGGAATTGGGAAACCCAGCTGGAATCATGGGTTCTCACTGCCAGGATGGGGCAACCAGTTGGTGAGAGCCCGAGTGGGTGACACCGGGGCTGCAAATGCACTTGGCACACGTTACGGCAGACCAAACCCTTTGCTTTCTTGAAGGCTGCCACCACTTAAATCAACTCTCCAGTCCCACACAGCTCTGGGTGCAACCCGTGGATGGGAGCCCTGTGGTAGTGGCTGGTGCCATCAGGAAAACAAGCCTGCTGCCAAGAAACCCCGCACTGATGCGGAGCTGGAAGTTCAACAACAACCTCATGGAGCAACACAGCTCCGGCAAGAGATCCGGCACCACGGCGCGTCCTAAATCTGCGTCCAGATCTGAGCTCCTCCCTTGCCAAAAGCTGGCAGGGCTGGGAGCAGGAACTGGCACAAAAACCCACGGGGCCTGATGTTCCCAGCTTGTCCCTTGGATGGGACAGAGTCAGTCCCCAAGCCACGCAGGATGAGGTGTCAGAGATGCACATAGGAGTGGGCAGTCCTGAAGGGTGTGTGGAGCAAGGGGAGACAGCAGCAGAGCGGGAGGAAAGCCTCCACGGCACGTCTGCCCCGCGTCTGGCTGCACCTACAAATAGTTGGATGAGAAAACACTGAGCCTTAAACCTACTTAAAAAACAACAGTGCAGGAGCACAAGCTCGGAAAGGCAACCCTGGGCATCGTGAACAGCTGGCCAGGGTTTCTCTGCTCCAGACCCGGGCTGCTCCTGCTGCAGGAAATTATCCCTGTGGGTCAGAAAGATGTTTTCATCCTGCGGGAAATGCTGATAAATCACAGCCTGGAGCCCAGAGCCCCTCCAGGAGGTCCAGGGGCTCTGCGGCTGCACGGGCAGCGCTTTACAGAGAGCTCCCCCCCTGCCCGGGCTCCCTCCAACTCCGGACGCGAGGGAGCTTTTGCCAAAAGGGCAACACTGGGAGCAGCGGAAAAGAGCAAGGAAATGACAGAACATCTTTAAGGCAAATCTCAACCAAGGTGCAATCAATCAGGCTCCGAAATGAGCCTCTCTGTCCAGTTGTGGCCAGTAGAGCCGTCAACGTTACAAGTTACAGCCTAGCTGGAGCAGGAAAATCGTGTTTCCATACGCCAGTGACCACGTACCGCAGGACACGGCAGGAGGCACCAACCCTGTCCTGGCATCTCCGAAGGAAGCTGGGACACTGTGTCCAGACACTGCATCAGATCTCGCTCCCTGAAGGCAAAACAGGGGGACTGGTGGGGCTGGACCCGATGAGTTGATTTAATGAATCTCTCCTGAGCTTCGGTTTTATGAATCATCACCGGGGCCTCGCCAGCTGTCTGAGGTGATTATGCAATGTTTAACATGGGTCTTTTCCAAAACCTCCTGGAAGTCAACAGGAGCCTTTCTCTTCCACAGCCCTTTGGAGCAAGTCCTGGCCACAGCAGCTCCCTCCTTGGCGCCAGGCACCCCTGGGCGCTGCGGGGCTGTGCTCGCAGAGCACCTCTGCCTGCTCTGCCATGGAGCAGGAGTGTCACAAGGGCTGAGGTGGCAAAGGCTGGGCACGGCAGCAAGGGTGGGAAGGCAGGCGGACGTCACCTCTCATCCCAAAAAGCAGCATCGTTTCCCTCCCTTCCTCTCCCTGACTGCTTGGTCCCTGGGATCCTTCTCTGCAGGCTGACAACAGAGGGACACTGAGCAGAGGGACACCCTGATGACAGCAAAACCCAGGCCAAGCCCTGGTCTCCATGCAGGCTGTTTTCTGGGAAGCAAAACATACCAGGGTCTGCACGGCAAGAGATTTGGATGTCACCACCCAACCAACCCCCAGGGACTGCCCGTTCCGTTGAGGACAGTCCCTCCCGCCTCCTCACCTGGAGTTTCTGCAGCAGAACCACGTCGGCAATCTTCTCCTTGTCCTGCTTGGTTTGCTTGGCCTTCCAGTACTGCTTCTGGGCAGAGTAGCGGTTCATGGGACATACTTTGAAGAGGCAATCTGGGAGGAGAGGAAAGCAAGAATGAGGCTGTGGAGCCACCAGTGTGTCTCCAGTGGGACCAGCATCATCGAGGGGCAGGAGCTCCTCCGGGACACTGCTCCTACCCCAGCAGCATCACTGGGAGACGGTCCCCAAAAACCCACAACCACTCCATCTGCTGCCCAGGGAGACCTGGCTGGGACAGGTGGAGGGTCACATCACCCTGTGTTAGCTGGTGGATTAGTTTTGAGTCAGAGTAAATAACGAGTCCAGGAGTGATTCCACCTCTTGGACTCGTGATCAGAAGCATTCCCGTTGGAAACGGCTGCGCGGTTTGGGAAGGGAAACTTCAGGGGGAGAAAAAATACTGACGAAGCCCAGCTGTACCTGAGGAGGAGAGGATCCCGCCGGGAGGGAGGGGAGCCAGCAGGACACAGGCAGATATCTCCACGTGTCCCTTGTCACCCCGAGGCAGCAGGACCCGCTGCCCCACGTTACGGCAGTTTTGCAAAGAGGCTGCTGCTCCCCCGTGACTGCTCACAAGGAGCCTCAACCACCAGCGCTGGGAGCCAGGAGCTCCTAAAACCTCTCTCAACAGCTACTTTACAAGTCCTAAAGAAACATTTCAAGGACCTAAAGGGCATCCCGGCTCCTCCGAACACTTGCAGCTTATCCACACTCTGCAGATTGGCCCGATTTGCCTCCTTTTCCCCAGGTCACTGTGACTGGGATGGCGGTGGGGGAGTGGGGAGCAGAAAGCACAGATGCCCTGGTCCAGGCTTCGGGAACAGAAGCACGAGAGCAGATGATGTCTGGAGACAAGGAGATATTTTACATCTCCCAGACTCTGGTTCAGGGCTGGAAGCTGGAAGAGGCAAGGGCAGGAAGGGCTCTGCAGCCCTAATTATGCCTGAAATAGCAGCCCAGAAATTTCAGACACAAAAAGAGAATTAAAAAAAAAAAAAAAAAAAATCACTTCCATCTCTGGCCCCGGTCCAGAGTCGCTGGCAAGCACGTATTTATTTACCTGGGAGTGACGAACAAACAAGCGCAGAGCACAGTTCTCACCGGCTCGGGCTGCTGGGAAGAGGCCAAGTTTCACGTTTCATTTTACAGGTCTGTTTGCTAATGGCATATCCCCTGCCAAGGAGGCCGTGACGCCGGGCTTTTCATCGAGGACTGAGCGTAGCTGCTGCAATGCCTGGCTGCCTTCTCCAGCAGGGCTACAGAAACACCTGGGCCACCTGCAGCACCTCAGATCGTTTTCATTAAATAGCTAATTAGGCTGCAAAAGGACCTGATAGAAAGTAGAAACTAAGAGGAATCAAAAAAAACCCCAACAAAGTAGCTATTAAGGGAGAAGTGCAAAGCAAACCCTTGGCTCCAAGCACGCCCTGCCCGGAGGGGCTGCCTGACATCTCAGTTTTGCAAGGAGGGAAACTGAGGCACGGAGTCGTTTGCACACACAAAGTCTCCAGCAAAACTCGCGTTGGATGCCAGAGATTTCGGCACCCAACGGATTTTTTTTGCAACGTGGATGGTGGGTGGAAAAGAGAGAAGCCAAGGAAAATTCCCACCTCAGCACTGCCCGGTGAGGGCGATGCTCATCCGACCTGCCACGAGGCA